CCTGTGTACATGATGTATGAGGTGAGTTATGTCTGCTTGTGAGGCTGTCTCTCCCCACCACAACCTCTACCTCCTCCCACCTCCTCATACACTCATTCACCTCCTCATACACTCATTCACCACCTCATACACTCATTCACCTCCTCATACACTCATTCACCACCTCATACACTCATTCACCTCCTCATACACTCATTCACCACCTCATACACTCATTCACCACCTCATACACTCATTCACCACCTCATACACTCATTCACCACCTCACACTCATTCACCTCCTCACACTCATTCACCTCCTCATACGCTCATTCACCTCCTCATACGCTCATTCACCTCCTCATGCACTCATTCACCACCTCACACTCATTCACCTCCTCACACTCATTCACCTCCTCACACTCATTCATCTCCTCACACTCATTCATCTCCTCACACTCATTCAGGTATTACAATTACATTTAAGCTTATTCTGTCTATCTTCTCGACTCCCGAGAATTGTGCATGTGGTGATCATGTCTCCTCAGTGTGGTGGGGTTCAGCTCCTTTAGGCATTCCTAGCAACTGGCGTCTCAGGTCTGGGACCAGTCTAGTGGTCTCAGACCTCAAGACTTCCTCCAGCTCAGCTTTGGCTTGGGTTGGGGACAGGTAGCCTGCTAGGCTAATAGAGGTTCCAACCCAGGCCAACTACTGACAAGGCTGCAACCCACAACAGTTACTTTACTCCAGAGTACGAATTTACTGGAAGGGTTTCATGTTGGTGCTATATAGTCTAATACTGGACTTAGTTGAGAATTTCTTGTTTAGATTCACTTTAGGGCACATGTGACACACTCACATGTGTGAGGTGTGTCCTAGGGTCACCCTCACATGTGTGAGGTGTGTCCTCGGGTCACCCTCACATGTGTCAGGTGTGTCCTAGGGTCACCCTCACATGTGTCAGGTGTGTCCTAGGGTCACCCTCACATGTGTCAGGTGTGTCCTCGGGTCACCCTCACATGTGTGAGGTGTGTCCTCGGGTCACCCTCACATGTGTCAGGTGTGTCCTAGGGTCACCCTCACATGTGTCAGGTGTGTCCTAGGGTCACCCTCACATGTGTCAGGTGTGTCCTAGGGTCACCCTCACATGTGTCAGGTGTTTCCTAGGGTCACCCTCACATGTGTCAGGTGTGTCCTCGGGTCACCCTCACATGTGTGAGGTGTGTCCTCGGGTCACCCTCACATGTGTCAGGTGTGTCCTAGGGTCACCCTCACATGTGTCAGGTGTGTCCTCGGGTCACCCTCACATGTGTCAGGTGTGTCCTCGGGTCACCCTCACATGTGTCAGGTGTGTCCTAGGGTCACCCTCACATGTGTCAGGTGTGTCCTAGGGTCACCCTCACATGTGTCAGGTGTGTCCTAGGGTCACCCTCACATGTGTCAGGTGTCTCCTAGGGTCACCCTCACATGTGTCAGGTGTGTCCTAGGGTCACCCTCACATGTGTCAGGTGTGTCCTAGGGTCACCCTCACATGTGTCAGGTGTGTCCTAGGGTCACCCTCACATGTGTCAGGTGTGTCCTAGGGTCACCCTCACATGTGTCAGGTGTGTCCTAGGGTCACCCTCACATGTGTCAGGTGTGTCCTAGGGTCACCCTCACATGTGTGAGGTGTGTCCTCGGGTCACCCTCACATGTGTGAGGTGTGTCCTAGGGTCACCCTCACATGTGTGAGGTGTGTCCTAGGGTCACCCTCACATGTGTGAGGTGTGTCCTAGGGTCACCCTCACATGTGTCAGGTGTGTCCTAGGGTCACCCTCACATGTGTCAGGTGTGTCCTAGGGTCACCCTCACATGTGTGAGGTGTGTCCTCGGGTCACCCTCACATGTGTGAGGTGTGTACTAGGGTCACCCTCACATGTGTGAGGTGTGTCCTCGGGTCACCCTCACATGTGTCAGGTGTGTCCTCGGGTCACCCTCACATGTGTCAGGTGTGTCCTACGGTCACCCTCACATGTGTCAGGTGTGTCCTAGGGTCACCCTCACATGTGTCAGGTGTGTCTTAGGGTCACCCTCACATGTGTCAGGTGTGTCCTAGGGTCACCCTCACATGTGTCAGGTGTGTCCTAGGGTCACCCTCACATGTGTCAGGTGTGTCCTAGGGTCACCCTCACATGTGTCAGGTGTGTCCTAGGGTCACCCTCACATGTGTCAGGTGTGTCCTCGGGTCACCCTCACATGTGTCAGGTGTGTCCTAGGGTCACCCTCACATGTGTCAGGTGTGTCCTAGGGTCACCCTCACATGTGTCAGGTGTGTCCTAGGGTCACCCTCACATGTGTCAGGTGTGTCCTAGGGTCACCCTCACATGTGTCAGGTGTGTCCTCGGGTCACCCTCACATGTGTGAGGTGTGTCCTCGGGTCACCCTCACATGTGTGAGGTGTGTCCTAGGGTCACCCTCACATGTGTGAGGTGTGTCCTAGGGTCACCCTCACATGTGTCAGGTGTGTCCTAGGGTCACCCTCACATGTGTGAGGTGTGTCCTAGGGTCACCCTCACATGTGTGAGGTGTGTCCTAGGGTCACCCTCACATGTGTCAGGTGTGTCCTAGGGTCACCCTCACATGTGTCAGGTGTGTCCTAGGGTCACCCTCACATGTGTCAGGTGTGTCCTAGGGTCGCCCTCACATGTGTCAGGTGTGTCCTAGGGTCACCCTCACATGTGTGAGGTGTGTCCTCGGGTCACCCTCACATGTGTGAGGTGTGTCCTAGGGTCACCCTCACATGTGTGAGGTGTGTCCTAGGGTCACCCTCACATGTGTCAGGTGTGTCCTAGGGTCACCCTCACATGTGTCAGGTGTGTCCTAGGGTCACCCTCACATGTGTGAGGTGTGTCCTCGGGTCACCCTCACATGTGTCAGGTGTGTCCTATGGTCACCCTCACATGTGTCAGGTGTGTCCTAGGGTCACCCTCACATGTGTCAGGTGTGTCCTAGGGTCACCCTCACATGTGTCAGGTGTGTCCTAGGGTCACCCTCACATGTGTCAGGTGTGTCCTAGGGTCACCCTCTTCCCTCACAGTTGGCACTTGGTCCTCGGCCGCGGGTCTCCATCAGTCTTTATCACCTTGCACCTGCTAGAATTGAACTCAAGCAGTCACACCATTCTCGCGGCCTCGGATAGCGCATATTAGGCCTAGGAGGGTTACGTTTGGTTAGATTTCATTACCAACACATACACAAAACCTTTTCCGGTTTGACTAAATTCAATAGTACCAAATCATACTTTCTAAGTGTCCATTGCGTCAATATATGTAGAATGGTCTACATGGTTGAGTAGACCACCGCCTCTTTCCCAGCTTTTCCCCTTTCCCTCTTTTCTTTCTCTTTTTCCCCATCCTCGTCCCTTCCCAGTGCTCTATAGTCGTAATGGCTTGGCACTTTCTCCTCTCAGACTTGAGTACTGTGGGAGACCAGGCTGCCACTCAGTCTCCCACAGGAGAGAAATTTGTCTCCTCGTCTCCCACAGGAGACTGGGCCAAAGGCCTTCTCGTAGTCTAAACAAAATCAAATGTGCCTTCGCTGATCTTGTATGTCACTCGGATATCCTAGATGCAGTGGTCATGTCCCCTGGATAGTATAGGGTCCACTTGGAAGAGATTTTGGAACCTCTGTCATAAGCCTCTGAATCTTTCCTCTCGTTAGCTGTCTCTCTTTCCTGCCTCACTTCATTTATCCTTGGCTCGTTCTCTCTTAAAAGCTTCACAGACCAGGCAATCACCAGGGGGAGGCTGCCACACCCACCACACCTGTCACTCCCCCACACCCACCACACCTGTCACTCCCACACCCCCACACCTGTCACTCCCACACCCCCAGACCTGTCACTTCCACACCCCCACACCTGTCACTCCCACACCTACCACACTTGTCACCCCCACACCTGTCACTCCCACACCCACCACACCTGTCACCACCACACCTGTCACTCCCACACCCCCACACCTGTCACCCCCACACCTGTCACTCTCACACCCCCACACCTGTCACTTCCACACCCCCACACCTGTCACTCCCACACCCCCACACCTGTCACCCCTACACCTGTCACTCCCACACCCCCACACCTGTCACTCCCACACCCGTCACTCTCACACCCCCACACCTGTCACTCCCACACCCCCACACCTGTCACCCCCACACCTGTCACTCCCACACCCCCACACCTGTCACCCCCACACCTGTCACTCCCACACCCCCACACCTGTCACTCCCACACCCACGACACCTGTCACCCCCACACCTGTCACTCCCACACCCACCACACCTGTCACTCCCACACCCCCACACCTGTCACCCCACACCTGTCACCCCCACACCTGTCACTCCCACACCCCCACACTTGTCACTCCCACACCCCCACACCTGTCACTCCCACACCCCCACACCTGTCACTCCCACACCCCCACACCTGTCACTCCCACACCCCCACACCTGTCACTCCCACACCCCCACACCTGTCACTCCCACACCTGTCACCCCCAAACCTGTCACTCCCACACCTGTCACTCGCACACCCCCACACCTGTCACTCCCACACCCCCACACCTGTCACTCCCACACCCCCACACTTGTCACCCCCACACCTGTCACTCCCACACCCCCACACCTGTCACTCCCACACCCCCACACCTGTCACTCCCACACCCCCACACCTGTCACTCCCACACCCCCACACCTGTCACTCCCACACCTGTCACCCCCAAACCTGTCACTCCCACACCTGTCACTCCCACACCCCCACACCTGTCACTCCCACACCCCCACACCTGTCACTCCCACACCCCCACACCTGTCACTTCCACACCTGTCACTCCCACACCCACCACACCTGTCACTCCCACACCTGTCACTCCCACACCCACCACACCTGTCACTCCCACACCCCCACACCTGTCACTCCCACACCTCCCACACGCTACAGTGTCCCTGCCCAGCTCGTCTCATCGATCACTTGTCCCACCACTCCCAGCTCCCACGGTACCTCCAGCTACACCTCCACTATAGGGAGCACCACACACCTCCTCCCACCCCCACCCCCATCACAGTGTGGCAGCTCCTCCCACCTGTGATGGGGAGGTGCCACCAGCCCTGCTACACAGTGAGGGGCTGGTGGCTTAGTGGACAGCGCTCGGCATTCGTAATCCTAGGGAGTAAATAGGTGCCTTTCAACCGTCAATCAACAGGTGTACAGATTCCTGAGCCTACTGGGCTCTATCATATCTACACTTGAAACTGTGTATGGAGTCAGCCTCCACCACATCACTGCCTAATGTATTCCATTTGTCAACCACTCTGACACTAAAAAAGTTCTTTCTAATATCTCTGTGGCTCATTTGGGCACTCAGTTTCCACCTGTGTCCCCTAGTGCCTGCGTGTGTCCCCTAGACCCCTA